TGTCCTGGAGAGGGTGAAGCCAGAATGCTCCTTGGAGTCAAGGATTCTGAAGCTTCGTCTGACATTCTTTGGGCACGTTGCAAGGAGGGACTGGTCCTTGGAGAGGGACATCATGTTTGGGAGGGTAGAGGGATAGCACAAGAGAGGAAGACCCTAGATGAGATGGATTGATTCTGTGATTGGTGTGGTGGGAGTAAGTGTGTAGGTGACAGCAAGGTTGGCTCAGGACAGAGCAGCATTTAGGGCTGTTGGACATAGGGTCGCTATGAGTCGCAAGCAACTTGATGGTGCTTAACAACAACTATTGACCTATGCCCACTATTACTGCATTGTTTTTCAAGTCCCCAGTTGATCTTGCCTGTTCTCTCTCTGTATGTCTCTCTGTGTGTTTGTCTCTCTCTTTCTCTCCCCCCACCCCACACACACACCAGCTGCCCGCTGAACTCTGCTGTCCATTTCCCTCCCCTTCCCCTTTTGTATGTCTGTACATGTCTTACTAGTTATTATTCTGTTTTTACAGTTATGGTCTTAGGTGATGTTTTTTCCTTTATGAGACTGAGTTAGTTCACTCTGGGTAATGCTGTCTATTTTAAAGATTAATTTGTCAGATTCTCAGATGTTTAAATTGTCAGATAATATATGTCTGTACGTGGAGAACGCTGAAGGACGTTTAACTCTGCTCCAGAGTGGCTCTCAGCTGCGTGGCATATAACCACAGCACGGCTGATCACCTTAGCTGGTCCTTGTCCCAACACCAGGCCCACTCTTTGAGCTCATTTCTGGCCTGTGGTCCCGGGGCTGAGCAGACCTGCCCCAAACAGTCAGTGGCAAGCCTGCCAATTTTTTGTATTTTTATGTACATCAGTAATTTTTTTGTGTGTGTGTGGGAAAATCTTGGATCGGCAAAGGAAAGAGTTGGATTTAAAACTCCAAGAATTTTTTTTAACTTTTTATTTAAGCAGAAGTTTACAAATCATACAGGTTTATCACTCAGCCATTCATTTACATCTTACAACATTAACTACAATTGATGAATGTAACTAATTACCCTGTCTGATCAGCCCTTATTGCCTTCTCCTTCACTCTGTTGCCTGTTTATTAATATTTAACTCCTTCTCTCTCCCTTCCCAGGTCTGGTAACTGTTCAGAAATGAGGCGATGTGCAGACATTTGCATTGCTTTTTAGAATAGTGTTATTTTACTGCAATTGGCCTTGTGCTGGTTACTGTCACTCAGCATAACTTCCTGTCTATTTATCCATGCAGAGTTCTGTGATTTCTCCTTTGTTACGTGCTGTCCAGTGAACTGCGACCACAGTGACCCTGTGAACAGCATGTCTGCGCCCTGCCCCACCCTTACTGCAATGCTTTCATGTTTAAATTTCCATTTTGTGTGTGGGACTCCGGTTTCTGTAGTCATTTTTCCATTGATGGATCGTTCTGGTGTTTGTTATGAATAATGTAGCAGTGAACGGGGGTGTGTATAGCCGTTTGCATTGCAGCTCTTCTCTCTTTGGGATATGCACTAAGTAGTGAAATTCCAGGATCATGGCATTTTTACTCCCAGGTTTCTAGGGCAGTACAGAGGCACACATCTGTGGAAGCCCACTGCCGCATCCTTCCCCCACGAAGCGGTTGGTGGGACTATACCACCCACCATTTGGTTAGCAGGAAAACTCGTAAGCACTGTACCACTAGGGCTGCTTGGGAGGGAGGTGAAAGGAGGGTCCCTACGCTTACAACCAGAAGGCCTAGTAGAGGTTATTGCACCCCATGAATATTCTCTGTTAGGCTGTGAAAGTGACAGATGCTTATTTAGACCATCTCTCTTAGAAACGCAACAAGTAGGTTCATTTAACAAACAGACTTATTTCCTCACAGTTGAGAAAGCCCAGTGTGGGAACTCAAGGCACTGGCTGTAGGGAAAGGCTTTCTCTCCCTGGGCCCAGTAGGCCCTGGACATCTCCATGGATGAGTCTTCTCTTGGATCGCTGCTACCAAAGGCCATGCACCAATTCCCAACTCTTAGCTCAGGGGACTGAGGGCCCACCTTTGCTGCTCATTTCTGGGTCTCTTTATCTCTTGTAAAGTGACCCAGACCTCATCTTAGAGGAAAACTCCCTGGTTGGAGATCAGGACTATGAGAATAGGAGGTGTGCTGCTTCACACCAGTACACACACAGCTGATGGATCACGTCCACTTCACACCAGTACACACACAGCTGGTGGATCACGTCCACTTCA